TAAGTGCTCCCCAACGGTAATGCTGCTTCCAATGTCGATCTTGGATCCCAGACATGGATTAAATAGAACGGAGTGTCTCCACGGATCCGATCTTGTGCCGTATTCATAGCGAATGTCAATCTTTCTGCATATGCATCCCAGTCTTTCTGTTCTACGTCCGTGACGTACATCTTAATCGACCGAGTCAACGTCTGTACCATACGCTCCGCAGTTCCGATCGCTCGCGGTCGGTACGCCATGGTCGCACGTTGCTTTTTCCCTGCGATCCGATTAAATGCTCGAAAAAAGTCGGACATAAATCCAGGCTCCCTGTCGTGACGTAAAACTTCACTGGCTCCATACCTTCGAAACACACCTTCTTCAAATCCTTCAGCGATCGTTTGTGCGGTCCTCGATGAACCTGCTCTCGCGATCATATACTTTGAGAAAAGATCTACCCACAGCAGCAGTCTTGTGTTTCCTATAAATGACCGCGGCAATGATGGAATATGATCCATCGCAACCACCTGAAATGGGCATGTAGCCTGCCTGCTTCCGGGGATCTGCCGCGGAACGCGGGAAGACCCTTTCCGTTTGTACAGTCCACACATTCGCCAACACAACGTTGTTGACTCCGATATAATTTTCTACAGTGAAATTTAAATCAGATCCGCTGATAAGTCCTCCCGATCCCCTGGTGATCACCCTCCAAGCTTGTGTGGTAATGTTGCATAAAATCTTGCTGCAACAATCCAGTACAGCCAGACGGACCATCTCTATACGATCATCCAATTCCTTAGCGGATCGGGGTCTGAAGAACAGCAATCCGTTTTCGTCCACTTCGTAGTCTGAAGCAATCCGAGCGCATAATTCTGCATCCTCTGTGTTTAACTAGGTCAGATCGCCCACAAGATATTTCTTCAGGTTGGCGATCCAGCTCTCTTCCTCTTGCGCTTGTTTTAATTTGCTCGATCCGCATCCTCTGCACTATATCTTAGTGTAAAACTTCAGTTTGTTGACGCCTTCGCCGCGCGGATCGTGTGATCGCTATTATATTCACCACGCGATCCGTCCTTTCCGGCAGAAGCAACTTGTGGAGCCTGTTGAGTGATATTAAATCTTGCAATTCTTGATCTAAGTTTACGATGACACCTTCCTTTTGCTGCAAAGCTGCACTGGCTAGTCGGTCCGTGCTTTGGTTCCACTCCCGCTTCATGTGCAGGAACTCGAGTTTTGGCCAAACTCGAAGTTTCTGTATTGCTTTGTGAAGCAATAACTGTAGCCCGGGCGCTTTACAATCCATCTCTCCCCGCATTTGCCTGATCACTAGGTTCAAGTCACCACATATAATGACTCTTCCCCTAGTTTGGTTGTCCAGCAGATCGAGACCCAACAACATGCCACGATATTCTGCTGCATTCACCGTCAGATCTGCCGCGTATTCCGAAGCGGCTGATATGATGGTCCATTCTGGTAGCTTCCACAAGATCGCACTATATGCCCCGCTCTTCCGTTTAGTCCATGTCGATCCGTCGAAACTAACCACTAACAGGCGTTCATCCGTACCTACCGTGGGAGGTAGCATAGCTACCAATTGTTTAGGTTTCTTCTGTGGGGCGATCGCAATCAACACATCATCTACCTCATCTCGCGGAGTCATACTAGCTGCGAGAGCGCCTAGTATTTAATTCACTCTTTTGTTACATCTCTTGACCTCTTGTGTTCAATTCGATAGCAGCGCAGCCCATCTTCCCAGTCTCCCATTGAAGCCAGAAGATTGAACTAGCCAAGCTTTTGTCGAATATCGAGCGAGCACCCTGATCTCTCGGGATACAAGCATGGTGTAGCACACTTCCAAGATTCGAAGTAGGGCTTAAACTTCTTTCTCCACCATACCATAATTAACTTCATTAGGCTTCAGTGTGCGACTCGTGAATGTCACCGGCCAGTATACGCCGTCATGTTCTTGCAATAGAGATGCCGATACTGCCCACTTACTAGCATATACCACGATCACTGAAAGTCGATCTGGATCCAAATGTTTGAGGATCGGGGTTTGTAGCGATCTTGGCCTTTAGCAAAGTGAATGCAATGGCGGCCCTTTCCAACCGAGATTGATCTTTTGTATCATGCTCACCCCCTTGTAATGTGCTATCGCAACTTCCCGGCATCGCATCACGATCTCCCATAAGGCTCATCTCGAAAAAATCGCCTCTTGTAACTCGTATAGCACAGATGCATATACTGCAAAATCCTCTAAAAAACGACTGTAATAGTTCAAGCTACCTAGGAACGATTGCATGGATCGCAAAGTTGTGGGAAAAGGAATGTTGACCAGCGATCCTAGATCTTTAGGATTGGCCTTTAACCCAGCCAAAGATACCTGATGACCTAAGTAATCCACCTTACACCGTCCCCAAAAACGCTTGGTCATACTGATCGACAATTCTATCGATCGCATGCTGTCAATAATCTTTCGAATTTTTCGTACAAAGATGTCCATGACGTAGCCGGGATCAATATATATCGTCAATATAAGATCGCTTACCCAGCACTATCGGCGCTTGATCCATTAACGGCTTTCCCACAGTAAACACATCAGTTAACTTGTGACGATCCGTTGCATTCACATCCTTAACTGCGCCGATTTTAAGATAACCATATAGAGCATTATCAATCAAACGCTGATAGATCTGTTGGGCGTTCTTTAATCCAAAAGGCATCCGCAACCATTCAAACAGACCTGACGGTTTGATAAGCGCAGAGATCGATCTTGCTCGTTCGATCATCTCTACCACCCAAAATCCACTCGCCATGTCCAGCGAATTATTCTACATTGCTTTGTCTATGTCCTGCAACAATTCACTGGTGAGTGGCATAGGTTACACCATCAACTGTGTTAACTGATCAATTCGTGGATAGTCGTTCACAATCGGATAATTTCTCCATTTTTTTTTAAAAACCACGTCTTTTGGTGATGCCCACGGCGATGTCGAAGGTCGGATAATCTTGGCTGACAACAGGCCTTTTATCAGATCGGCCAACGTCTCGCGAAACTTTGGCGCAACAGGTCGTACACGCTAATAGATCGGCCTCGCCTCTTCCACATCAATATCACAAACGGCCCCGCGTGCTGCAGGGGGTTATGGATTTCCTTTCCTGATCAACAGGTGACGACTCTTCCATATCAGTCGTCGCAAATCCTCTTGATCCTCTGTCAAGGTTATTCCAGGATCTTTAACCCGGACATCGTCTATTGTTATCTCGGTCGTGGATATGGTTACCTCCGGCAGCACAGCCATGTGTTGTTCCACATCTTCCGCGAACAGTTCACCTAACTCGTGGTAGTATGTTGATTCATCCGGTACATCATTTTCCATTACTTCGCCGTCGATCGTAACAGCTTTCACATCGTCATCCAGTCGTGTAGACTGGCCATGCACCTCCCGATTTAACCTTGATTCCGTCGAGGTGACAGTAACTGTCCTTGTAGCGGATCAGTTATATCACGGTTGTCTTTCGGTGTCATGGCCTCCTCTGCAACCATGTCCTCTTCACCCGAATGTTCTGGCGTCTTCCGCACTGCGTTGACCGCACACAATCTCATTGTCGATCTATCATTCTTGCCTTCGTTTTTCTTTTACTCGTACATTCGTCCTGCAACTCCTCATTAGAGTCACCATTTGAGTCGAATAGTGAGGCGATCTCTGCAGACTTCTTGATGTCGTCCGATTTCCGTTTTGAGCGTCTCAAAATTCGGGTAGGTTTCTCTTACGTAGGATGATCCACTAACGGGCCCGTGTAGGCTTAGGCTTCTTCTTCCTCTCGATCTGTAAAGGCTTCAAAAGCCAATGTCTGCCATCCCATGTACCGCCGCGATCCTACAGATACGTATCCGTTAGATCGTGGGATCATTTCTTCTGTCATCCCCAACGCTAAAGGGGCCCCGCAGTTTAAGATCAAGCTGCAGGAACTTTTTTCCTTCCGGGGCCATTCGTCACAGCTAGAATCCACGCCACATCCCGTCGCACTCAAAGCTTAGATTTATGAGGGTTGACGCCGATCCTGACTTCTGCCGATCTGCCGGCCGCAATGGCTATGTGTTGATCGTTGTTGTTAACCACCGATAAATTCGATCGGTTCGGTGATCTTCGTCCAGCCATTCAGATTCGAACTTCATCGGTAAGGCAAAGAATTCCGTCGGCCTAATTCAAACGGATACCTGCAGGAACCATGAAGTCCAAGCCTAGTAAAGCTTCTTGACCGACTTCAACCCCAACCCAGACATCAAAATAATACACTAGTGATCCGTTCAGTGTGATCTTGATCTTGGTCCGTCCTACCGTCATATCAGTTATATCTCCGATCCTAACATTCATGTGTTTGGTTCTCGTCTATCACACACCCAACCTTACGAGCAAAGGTATTGTCTATGATTGAGATCTCTGCACCAGAGTCAAACAGAATAGTAGCCTTCTCATTGTTGATCTTGCTCACTGCTTTCGCTTTGAACCATTTTCTCGGAGCATGGTACTTCTAGTATCCCCTCGACTCACCTGGGGTGAGATCGAGCTCCATCTTCACCGGGGATCGGGCATAATAGTCCACTCGCTTCAAACTTGATATTAAAGAGGTCCGTTTTGAGCGATCACGTATATTAAAAGATCGGATCGCGCCAATCCTTAACTCCTTGCTCATCCAACTTCTTCTCAACTAATGCATATATTCATAGCCCAGAGCGCTCGGCTCGCACCAGATTCTGACCTGGCGAGCGTCCTAGTGTAAGATTTCCTCGACCTTCGTAGGAAACATCCCGCATTCTTAGTAGGCACAAACCACTGGCGGTTCAAGTTAATGAACTCTTTCATGGGACACTTTCCATTCTCATGTACCTCTCCACATGCTGCACACACGTAGAAGCCCTTGTCCGATGAATACCCTTTGCGACCGCACTTCTGGCTCAGTCTCTGCCAGCATCCACGATCATCACGTCGCATCGATCCACAGTAGGTGCATGCCTTCTATTTTCCACCTCGATCACGTCTATCTTCTTCACCAGTATTCTTCTGCCAGGTACGATGATCTTTATCAGATCTCTCTTGACCAGATGTAGTGGTCACACAAACTCGGCGGCGATTTTTGTCTTCATCCGAATCAATCGAGTCCAATTCCGATCCGCTACTTTCGATCCGCCTACAGATTGCCCTCACCGCCCGAGAATTCTTGAATGGCATAGGATTTGGGGAGGCATTCGCTCGCTGGTGGAACTCGTTCGATCCTGTCGACGTCTTCAACTGACGTCTCTTCTTTTTTTGGCATGCACGTAGCGTCTCATCTAACTCATTGACATTGGCCAATCGTAGTAGGGTCAGCTGCTTGGCCAGATCGCGATCGTCCAATGTGGCAATGAAATGCTCCACATGCTCACGACGTATGTCTGATGTGGCCATCCGCTCGTCTCCGATCACGATCTTGGCTTGCCTTGCCGCGACATTCGGGCGGTGTAGATACTCCTGTGGATTTTCATCCGATCGATTCCGTGCGAGATAGCTTTGTCTGGCCAGAGACACTCCTTGCTCTTCATACTGTACGATGAACTCATTTAGCAATCTCTGCCACTTCTTTCGAGTGGATCGACCTAGTTGGTTGTACCAGTTTCGAGCGGGTCCTGTCAGCAGATCTCCGAATACCAAACACTTCTCCTCATCGGGTGCTTGATCGCGCAAGGAGGCCGATTTGACCTTGCTGGTCCAGCTTCTGGCCCGATCTTCATCTCGATCCTTGCCACAGAATTTTTTCAGCCCTGTCATCGCCGACACTCGATTGCGTTGAGTATTGTTACCGCCATCTTGCAACGTCTCGGTCGTAGCTACCATAGCGTGTCTACAATCTTCTTGTCCCGAATAACGGGATCGACGTCGTCAGGGTCGAATACCTCCGGTTGACTGATGTGCGACTGCACCGATTGTATCTCCACATCGGGGGTACATCTTTCACGGGATCTACTAGGCTTGATCCTATATCTAGGTTAGATCGCTTGATACGCTCGTTCCCGTTGATCTTGGCGAAAACGTTCCATGGCCTCATCGAGGTATGTCTGCAGGAGTCCTTGCGTAGTAGTCGTCATCTACTCTTTAGCGCCTTTGGCCTTCGATCGCGAGTTCAGCTTCACCGACTCGACTCGATCGCGTAGATATGTTGCACCACTTGGGCCTAGAGACATTCTCTGGATGCCTACGGAATCGTACGACTCCATCTCGTATTCCGCAGATGCATATTGTGACGATCCGGCATGATACCCCCTCGGGACATCGGCGATCGTGGCAACCGCTTGATCCGCGGATTTGCACTTCCCCGTCAGAGAAATTAGCTTGTCATACAGCGATCGACACGCATGGATAACCTGATCCTGATCGCGTTCCAGCAGTTCGTTCGCATCGAACGCCCCAGCGACGTATCCTGCATCTTGCAGCAGCTGGATGATCGCGCTGATCCCTTCTACTGCGTTAGTCGCCACCTTCGGCCGGGATATCGGGCCTTGTGTCTCTTCGATTAGCTTAGGATTCAGTATCCGTTGCAAGAAGTCGCTCGATAGAAGATTCTTGAGCGCCATCCAATGGAGTCCTTGCGCTAGTTGATTCAACTTCCAGCCTTCCATCTTTATATCCAGAGCATCGTGCACGAAGTTGACCGGTTTCACGATCACTTTCACGCCGCGGTCGTGTCGATCCGATCTGCGCTCTTCTTTCTTCACTCGATCTCTCTTTAAAAAAAATTCTTCTTTGACATTGCCTGAGTAGTCTTGTGTAATTTTTGTTCAGTTTTTCGCTGAAGGGTGTCTACCCAGCGGATCGTGTTTTGCAGCACGAACCGCGGTGGTCCCCAAGGGGAACATAGGAAGGGATCGAGGTTTATCTTTTAGGTCGACTGATCTATCTTCCTCTTTGATTTTCTGATTAACGGAGCCCCTCCCAAAACTCTGATAATCCGGGAATCCTTTTTTAAACCACGCGTCGAAGGCGATCCCTTTGCCTCTAAAGCTTCCATCCTAGGTTCAGTCTTGACTTTCACTTCTTCACTTAGGAATTCGTGGCGAAATCCCGAGTCACCAGAAGATCCGGGCACGCGCACCATTGTTGTGCTTGACTCCTACTGAACCGCTTACCATGATTTCAGCAAAAATCGCTCGCGCGCCCAAGTGAGCGTGATTGTGGGATGCAGTGATGAAACCATGTGTTTTAAAGTATTCATCAGGTTTTAAAAACAAGGACATCACAACGCAGGATGTCATATATGTATTGAAACCGTGGCGAGTGGCAATCGCTCATTTCCCGAGTCGATTCCAACTCTCCACTGGCGCCCGACGACCGACTAACGGAGGGGTTACTTCGATTCCGTGTGTGTTGCCTTCCTCACCCTGTGTACCCGTCGGTAGGGCGGGTTGCACTCTTCCAGGTGGACTCGTGTCGGAGGAAAACTTGACCGTGTTAGGGATGGGGTTGTGATCGTGCGGGAATCTTCACGCGATCACGGGGTACTTGTGGGTACTGGTATAAGTTAATCTGATCTCAACGAGATCGCCTTGTCCACTATGTGGTTGCTTGATCCTCGAGCCTTCTGACCACTTGAGCCGTCTCGCGATCTTGCGCCTTGCCTTTACGTGTCTTGCTGCGTCCGATCGCAGTTGACGTTGCTTGAGAATTCTTGAACACACCTGGTCAAAACAATTCAGGTGTTACACTTACGTAGACGTGTAGCGCGACTCTTTATTTGACGGGGGCCAAAAATCCTACCCGGAAGAGATAACGTGTGCCTTGTGAAGTAATTTGAACTCTGTTTAATGTCAACCAACCAACCTAAACCCTGCCCCTATGCCTATCCGTATATCCGAACCAGATACCACGCGTCGCCTTTCCAGGAAAATCGTCCCCTCGCACTTGTGTGGTCCACACCCAGTATATCAGCAGTTGTATCTTCTTGTGGCCCACCCAAGATATCCCCCTGATCCTGCTAGAGGATCGTGATCCTACTAGCGGATCGTGATACTACTAGCGGGATGCAGCTGAGAACGGACTTGCGATCTTGGGTTAGGATCGCAGTCTTCCAGTGAGATCGAGGGTTTTGTCTTGCCATGTCTCACGACGGATTGCGTAATCAAAACGGGTGTGACCACCCTATAGCCTCGTCCCAGGCTGGACGATCCTGTCCACTTGGAGTTTGGGTACGCTATTGCCAGCTACCCGTCCCGGCCTGTATCCACCAATCATAGCATCTTGGCTTAACTGAAGCGTGCGACCCGTGGGATAGCCGATCCAAGTCCCACTAAAAATTTCCTTGTGACCGCTTTGCCACATAACGTTGTCTGAAGCTCAGAACAGGTAGCTGCAGCTGGCTTTTAGAATGGTGACCATTCAGATGCAGATGAAGACACTGAGACATCAGTGCGACATAGCAATAGTGGTCCTGCGGGCAAGAAGCCCAAGACGAATAAATAGTGGACTTTCCAGTCGCACGTAAGAAGTAGTGCGGGCAAGATCGAACATGCATACCAAGAAGAAGGTGTCAGCGCTTATGTCGTCAATCACGTTTTTAAAAAAGAGACCCTCGCAACTATGGCTAAGCAATAAATAGCAAGAATCAAAACGAATGGCAAATAGCAGTGCTTGAGGAGCTGAACGATCTTAAAAGAAACAACTTGTGGTGCTTGGCCGTCCTATCAAGCACACGAAAGGGTCTCTACATCATTTTAATTTGTATGACCAAGACGAATGCCGATCGAGATCTGGAAAGGTACAAAGCGCGCCTCGTTGACCACAGATATTAGCAAGATTTTGGTGTGGAATACGCGCAATCATTCGCTGCCGTCATATTCATGATGCCAGTGAAAGTAATTTTGGCTCAAGCTGCTACTTGGAGCGTCCACGCACAGCACTGAGACGTTCCAAATGCTTACTTAAACCTTGATAAGGAACTGCATCTCAAGATTCTGATACATGTTCCTAAAGCATGACGAATGAATTAAGCGAAATAAAAAACTAAAGACAACGAGGATTAAGGATATTGTGCTTGAACTGAAGAAAAATTTCTACGGTTCAAAGCAAGCAGGACGCTTGTGGAGCCAATTGCTTAACAGCCGGTTGATAAATTACAAATTTACTCGCCGTATCAGCGACTTCTGCTTGTACTACAAACGCGACAGTTATGGAGTCGTCATAGTCGGAGTCTACGTGAAAAATTTGCTGGTGACTAGAACATCTGCTGTTGCAGGTGACGGTTTCTTTGCAAGCCTCGACTAAAGACCTTGGTCCAGCGTAGAAGTTCTTGAAGTTCTTGAGTTTCCGCGTGACGCGCATTAGAGACCGTGTATATTTCTTCGATCAGGAGGGGAAGATTGTTGACTTGCTGTGTGGCCACGGCCTGACTGATGCCAACTCAAGTCGTGCACCTATCGAAACAGATTTTTATGAAGTTCAAAGTTCATAGAGCGGACTACTTGCAGTCACGAGTTCTATAATTAAATCTATTGTCGTGCTTTTCAATTTATTGTCGGATCGTTGCTCTGGGGCGAGGGGCACACGCCCCGATGTCACATTTGCGGTGCACACAGCAACTAGGCAGACCCACGAACCACGGATCCATGACTTCAAATTGGCTTAGAGCATTGCACGCTTTTGTGTGGGACGCGTGCATTTAAGATCAGTATAAAGCCAGCATTCGAAGAAATGTGTACAACGTGTACTTGCGATTTACAGCGACGCAGACTACGCAGCTGACAAAGCAGAATAAAATTTCTTGACTGGCAGCGTTATCATGCCAAATGAAATGATAGTCAGCCGGTGCTAAAACAACATGGAGGTGTGGCGCTCTCGACAATGGAGTTGGAGTTTGTGGCAGCGCCTGGAGCTGGGCGGGAGCTACTTGGAGTGGGAGAGACGATGAGTGAGATCATTGGGTCACCTGCAATACTGAAGAATATGCTCATCGACAACCAGGCAGCCATACAGAAGATTAAACGAGAAGCGTCGTCTACTTAAGAAAAGAACATTGATGTGACAGTCAAGTGCTTGTGCGACTACGCTCGTCAAGGCGTTGTGATGCCACAGCATGTGCTGAGCGAGCTATTGCTCGTGGAAGTACACACTAAAGCACTTGATGCAGCAAAGACGGTCGATTTTCGATGGCTGCTTTATATCGTGTAAGCGTAGTATAAGTCACCGGCAAGGAGGATTGTTAAAGATTGGAACAAGCAGTCACGATGTGTGGCACGACATGACAGATCAAGTTGGCGTTGCCTACTGTTCGTATACGCATAAGAGGGCAGTCGACGGATGAAGGAGCTGCAAAGATGGGTGAAGAAGCTTGCAGTTGCCAACAGGAAGGAAGCGCGTCGTCGAAGTGGGGGTGGAGGGTAGCGTAGCGACAGTAAGCTGACATAGTAAGAGTGGCAGAATCAGAAACATAGTGTGCGAGATAGCAAACGAAATAGCTAGGACATGACAGCACAATTCAAATATCAGTTTTCTTTCTACCTAATCAAGTGCGAGCTCACGTTGGCTTAAACATATATATCGCTTTCCCTTAAGCTCGTATTATGTAGATTTTACGACCGTAGGTGCGTGATTTGCGAGGTACGAGTGTTTTGCAAACTGATCATATTACTGATCTCTTATCTTCTACAGGAAGCTAGGTTATCGAACCTTTTATCCGTCGTATCTGGTACATCCAATCCACTCTCGATAGCTTCCGTATTTGAGTGATTCACGTGGCCGGGACCAGTTACACCTTACCATGTGTGTCCTAAAGACATTGTAAGTTAGACTCTAGGGGTATCATTAATTAATTTGATCAATTTTAATACCATATTTACAAAAGAGTGTTGGTTATAATGCTCTTTGTTATTTATACAATAGTGTTTGCGCTCATAACGGATCAATTCATGACATTTTGAGATAAACTAGCATGATATCGACATAAAAAATACGTCATAAACACTCTTCGCAGTAACTAATGCAAGCACACCTCAAGTAGTCTGGTTCGAGGACTTCGGAATCTATTAGGGCAGATCGTCAAATTGGCAAACGATCATTTTCAAGAGGCCAAGTGAGGGCTATTAATTTTAACTGGTTGAGAAAGTCATCAATACAAGTCTTAAAATAAGTGAGGAGAAGAGCATTGTAATAAGTCGGATCAATTCGAAAGACCCATGATTGCATGACCCTGGGATTTTTCCCTTTGGTTTCAAAGCCATCGTCTCGTCAGAATAAGACGAATGGGTTTAATCCATCCAATCTTTATCGAGATTCAAATTTGGTCGGAACCGCACCCAAGTTAAATCTGCAACCGTAAAAATCTCGTGCCTACAAGGGCTGCGCAAATTTAGTAAATGCATTGTCTGTATCATAGAGATCACCTACGAAGATTTAGGTAATGGAAAAGCAACTATCAACATAGTGAAGAGCGCACTTAAAATCATAGGCGGATAGAAAGCAATACGACATGTATTTTGAAAAGGAGGGGCATTGTACTTCCTTGTACAAAGGGGAAAAAATTGGATCAATAACAGTCACATGTTGCAGATCTACTAAAATTATGAAGACTGACGTACTGCCTTACGCCGTTAATAAGATACGCACTAGAGATTTATCTATCAAAAATCCTTCTAATGATCACGAAGAGAACTGTTATTTGGTCTTGGCAAAAATGTTGATTAAGGAGTTGTAATGGAAATTGCTCCATAAGGTACCTAGGTTAGACGGGCCGAGGTAAATGTTAAGCACACATGGAAGTCATAAGGAGGTAAATGGGAAAGCATGTGTGAGGGCCCGAATTTTTACATTTGCGCATTTCATAAGCTTTGGGATGCACAGGTGGCAAGACGGGTGGAAATGAACAGTGTTCTGGTCGTAAAATGGGCCGACAGGCTTTTTAATTGTAGTTCGTGGTCTAATAGAAACCCAGCGGGGGTGGCGTTATGGATTTTGCCACTGTAAGAGGAATGCCTGGCCATCTAAGTCTTTTGTGCTAGAGATTGATTTTTGGGCTCGGGGATCTACTTAATGTGCTCGGTACAGAAGGTTGAAACTGCAAGACTCCGTCAAGGACACGGGAAATATGGCAATTGTTATTGCTGTAATTGCTACAACAGGGAATTCAATGGCCCGGTAGTCGCTTGCGTGGAACCCACCACTGCTCGTCTAGGGTGCTGTACAGAAAAGTGGCAACACTGGCGATTTACTGCTTGCATCGACTTCAATTCTGAATACAACTGTATTTTGTATGATCTCTTAGCGATTTGATCTTCAGCAGTGGAAGATCTTTGCTTATGCGTTACCGACATGTGGCATTAAAACCCGCGAGCGACGTTCGAGGTGTCTTGATTCTTCATAGTTGTATGTACAATCCGCGAGCATGATATCGACTAAGATTCAGACACGCATCCGACCCCCTTCCTACAGCAGATCGTAAATGGATTTTGACAGGTTGTGCCCGAAATCGACATACAATCTAGTGCAATAATTGTGTCGGCGGTCGGCATGCAATCTTTTCTTGCCATACCGCGAAGTGACAAGTTAAGTCACTTTGTTAAAAAAATTGCAGTGCTACGCAGGAGACCGTTATGAAGAGGTCCCTTTTCATAACAGTCTCCTGCGTAGCACTGCAATTTTTACCCATGGACAACCAGTAGGAACAGACGTAAAATCTTTCCTCAGATTAACGGATATCTTTCCCGGTTTCCGGAAGCGTAAGCGTTTGATAGCCAGAGAGCGCAAGCATCAAAACTTACATGGCGCGCCCGAATTTCTCTTCAAGCTTGCATGGGGACCCTAGAGTTTGTAATTTTCCACACAGAACCCATTTCTACCTGAGGAGTAACGAGCTCTTCGATATGTTGTCAGATCAATCTTTTGGAGTCTAACCCTTCATATCTGCTCATAAAAGTAAAACGAGATTCAGAAAACGTTCACAGACAAAGGTAAAAAGTCTCAAAGACCTTAAGCTTCACAGTGACATCAAGAGACGTTAAGAAGCTTCTCAATCCTTTTATAAGGGGAAGCCCCTTCTTGCTCGGATTGTTGAATACAGCATGTCAAAAAACTAACTGTGTTTTGCATGAGGTGAGACATGGGAGACCGCATACATCAACGCTTTGTCTTCATATGTGATGATGGCCTGAAGTTTCACAGTCCGTCCCAGATTCTTCAACGATTCCGTGATCCACATTAAGTCTACCTATTTTGAGTCTGCCTGAAACGTTATCCAATTGTGTACGTGATCTTGGTGTTGGAAACGCAAAAAGTGCATATCCCGATTAAATTTTGCTTGATAATGCGATAAGAATTGCCTTCGTGCACCACCATCGATTTCCCTGGATCTTAAGAAAATTGGAATAGTTTCTGGAGCTAGAGGCAGGTGGGTTCGGCTTTCCTCTTAGTTCTGCCAAATATGATATATTGTGTGCATTTGCTTCATCGAAACCGTCAATCAAATCTTCTCCACAAGGGACCGCGTCTTCTCCTTCTCTTTCAAGACGGAATTGTTGTTTTCGATCAGCCTGAACATGATGCCAAACCGATTCTACGAAGTCAATAACCTGTTATGATTTTTAATCCATGCGAATCAATTTCATTAAATGATCGATCGGACCGGTGTTAGCGAGCGATTTTCGGTGGGAATGTTAACGCTGGCATGATAATTACTGCTTCATTAAGTAAATTGTAAATGCTTTATTTGTGTTTCAACTGATTCCCGCTTTCCACTTGCAGCCAAAAATTATGAGCTACAATTCATTCAAAGGTTCCACATCAAAGATCCATGGATATCAATATTTTTAGACGAAGAGCATGTTCAATATTGTGTATTAAGACCAGACTATCTGGTCTTCTTTCCTTTACAAAAACCGTTAGTATGAAATTTTTAACACAAGTTTTTATCTACTTCTTCCGAAGATGAAAACTCCCTTCGTTATTTATTCTTTGGGGTGGTCTCGAATGCCGTTGGGCAGGACAGAAGTCTGGACTACGTAGGCTTCATTACTTTAATAAAATGGTATCTCATCAACCCCATTTTTCGTTCTTCAGTTTGTTAAGATGACCATACATATCACGGTAAGCCTCTCCATCCGAGAAATGATAACTTAATTCGCGACCTCTTCTATTTACACGCCTGTCACCCGCAAAAACCGTATGATCATAACCACGTGCTCATGATCGACGCAAGACTAGCCATTGCACGAAACTATCGATCGTTGTAATGTTGGCTTGAATGAAGACATAGAGTACATTGACTTAACGGTTGCTGTAACGCTAATGAATGGTCTAATGTTGCGAATTAGAACAAACCAACTAATATGCTATCTGATGCTCTGTCTTCCATAAGATCGAAAATATAGCAAAGAAACGCAAAACACGCTACTTATGAAACACGCTACAGTAGAGACCATTTTTTATTGGGGGCAGATTATAAATCTCGCGCTTTGATGTAAGTAATTTAGTCTTTAAAATTGAATCAAGTTCTTTATATTGTTGTGTAATGGATCCGTGCGCTTCCGAGGCAATTTGAGAAGTGTATTAATCAAAACAAGATGCAAGCTATTCGCTTTAGTGCCCTAGCGCGTCTCCAATACTAGCAGTTGTGCAACCACCTGTAGCTCTTGGGTGGTGGGTGTTTCGTAACCCCCGGCGCATGAAGAGGTGGCTGTTTTGTAACTCACAAATCTGAAGTTTCAGGAATGTGAGACGTAATAATTTACAACATGTTGGTACCATCTAAGGGGGGGTAGGCGATGAGGAATTGGGTCGTGGTGTGTGTGATTTATCAATAATAGTGATAGTAGATTATTTGAGCTGTTCACCTACGTTGTTGATTTTCTAAACAGACAAATGGGGAAAACAGAAACGAGGGGATCCTGATCGGTAAAGCCGTCAACAACATTTCGCGCCTTACGACACACAATAAACTGGTGATAATTAGATTTGGCTTGGGAGAGCTTGATCTGCTACCGAGGAAACATGGGAACAAACCTACTCACTATATT